AGGGACCTCTAGAGACCATCTAGTCCAACCCTTCTGCTAAGCAGGGACACCCAGAGCACATGGCACAGACAATATCAGGGACTGGTTCTGAGACCAGCCATGTGGGCTCAGTGGACATGGTCAAATGAAGATTTACAAGGGCAATATTAGTGGTGAGAGCAGCCTGTGGTGCTGGCTGGCTAATTAATATAATCAATCAACGGAAAAGATTTGGGAAGAACAACCAGACGGTGCACACAGTCCCTCTATTTGCCCTTAAAAATCCTATTAACGCAGAAGAAAAGAAGTAAAAACCCACCCATTTTGATGGCTGCAGCACCTATGGCGCCAGGATCAACCAAGCAGCTGCACAGGGATGCGTAGTGACATGGGCAGGACCTGTGAATGAGATGCTGACCTTGAAGGCCAAGAAGATGGTGAGGACTTTTGTGATTCTATTTTGCCAGGCCATCCCTACCATGCTAGAACTGGAGAACATTTTGCTCCTTCTTCTTTGGTTGGGGTCCCACTCACCCAACTAACAACCAGGCAAAGCAAGAGGGAGACAGAAGATAGAGGGAGGCCATGAGTTCCTCTCCTTATCCTCCTCTCAGGGTAACCTTGGAGGCTTAATGCCACTTCTGCTTCCTAACCAGGTTGATCCCACTGGTTTTCCGGCGATTCATCTCCCGTTGATTGTCAGCTGCTCTTCCTACATGGACCAAAACCCGAGGACGCCTCTGGTGATAGCCAGTAAAGTCAAATATGCATCAAAAAAGGCAGCTCTCTGATGATGGGATTGACAGAGCGCCAACGTGGTGTGGTCCCTGTGAAGACGTGTGTCATAAATCATTACATCTCCCCTGCTTGTCCACCGAGGGCTCCTGCTGCAGGAGGATCAAAGCCGACAGCTGCCAACGGGCACCCTCCAACGCTGCCTGGAAATGGGAAGTTAGACCCCATTCCCAGCAGGGATTTTGGGACCGCAGCAAACTGCAATTTTTGGAGCAGTGGCCAATGCTTTAACTCCAACTCAACGCTTGAGGGTGGAAATAGAGGCTGCAGAAGGGGTCATCACCTTGGAAAGGCTGTTACAGGCAACCCTTAGCGAGCAGAACTAACGATACGGATTCACCTTGAAGCATTTATTCTTGGACCCTGAAAACGGTACTGGTAGTGACACTGCAAAGACACAGTTTTAGAGAGAAAGCTGCATTAGAAAGGCAGTCCTTGAACAGCAGGTTTTACCAATTAAATCGCATTTTCACTTTGTCGCTTGATAAATATGGATGACAATATTGATCTTCTTGAACACATTTAAGATCTGCTGATGGAAAAGGACAATGTAATTGCTGATAAAGACAAGATGGGGTGGTATCTTTTTATTAACTGGTCTGTTTTTTTCCATAATGTCTTTTTATTAGACTCACTAATACTCGATGGACACTTTCACGTCCGGTATTGTCAAGGCCATTGTGGCTAGACTGACCCTAAGAGGACAAAAAAAGGAGGCATCCAATAGTGCTGGGACAATTTAAACATGAAATCAAATATACCCATAAATAGGAGTACTGAAGTTGTGATCACTGAATCAGGATATACTTCACATTTAATGTACTTTATGTAGATGCACTGCTTGTATGCTATGCAGGTCCATAAATAAAAAATAATATGTGATTTCAATGAAGACTCTTGGTCTGTTCTATAGATCATAGATATGAAACACTGGCCATTGGACAGTGGCCAAAAACTGTGACTTGGGAAGTTCATATTAGACCTAGAAAAAAAGCTTTTTTGAGCCATCAGAGGCTTTCCATGCCTGTAAGCTTTCAAGACTCCTTGACAAAACCATAGATGCCCTGATGTAGAGTTGAGCATTGGCCATAGTTGGGCTCTGGCATGGAGGTTCAGCCAGATGAGATCACCCTCCACAGGCTCCTTTCAACCAACATTGTTACAGTTCCACAATATTGAGTATGTAAATTTTTTTAAATGTTATTAAAACCCTGAAAACAATAGCAATCCACTAGTTAAGAAGTTCAAACCTAATCTGGGCTGGTATGAGCTAAAAACTAGACTCATATTACCATTATTTGGCAAGCTGAAAAAGTGGAGCTAAAATTAGCATGGTGTAAAGCCTTGGGGAAGAGGACAAAGAATATTATCCCGGATTTAGTGCTAAAAAAAGTGGGTATTATATGGATTCTGGGTGGCTCTTACCATAAGATTGCACCTATGTATAGAAAAGACATATAAAAGACTGCAGAGATTAACAGGCCACTCACTTTTCAATCTTGCAACTTGCAAAGGTCAAACATGAGACATGTTGGTGGGATGGTTTGGGGAACCTGTCTTTGCTTTTCCACTTCTGGACAGGAAGAAACCAATCGTGCCTGCAAGGGGAACTGTTCTGCTGTGTCCTTATGCAACTTAAGACCATCTCCCGCCTAGGCTTTACTGAACAGGCATGTTAAACACGACTCTTAAAATAAATTGAAGCACTGCCATAAGAGTTTGCCTACGGCTAGCAATTGTTTTTATATAACTTACAATTCCATGATCAGCCTCAGTGGAGGACTTGGAGAGCTGCTGACGATTTTCATGGGAGCTTCATAAACGCTTCTGAAAAAGGTGGTAACCCCACTAAATGGCACTCCCAATGTAAGAGCTTTCTAAAGAAATACTTAATGGGGTAGGGAGACCCGGATGCTCAAGGAGAGAGAATTTTGTCTCTCATTTCAAAATGAAAATTAGGATTCGGGACTGCAGGGTTCAATGGGAAATGACGTTGCTGACTTGGTTAATCAGTCTTAACCTCCTGATGTTTCAGTTTTCTCACTTGTGGAAGCAAACAGGCTACGTGAAGATGAAAACATCTGCAAAAGTCCTTAATTTTGCTCTAAACCCCATGGCTCTGCAAGATGGTTGAAATACAGGGACTCGAGTCATAGGTGCTCCCTCAACACGGCACCCATCTCTCAATGGGAAAAATTCAATTCAATCCCTTGGCTCTACTGGAGGTGTTTTGGAGGAAACTCCATGCCACTGCAAAGCCCTCTTTGAAAGAGCAAAACATGAAGCACATTGGGCTGGAGACAGACCAGGAACGTGTTTCAAGGCCAATAATAGTAGTGACCAGCAAGCAGAAAGATTAATCGCCTTGACATCAACTGTACTAGCACACTAGACAGGCCATAAAGAGCTGTCAAGCTGCTTGTAGCCTAATTTAGTATTGATTTAAACAATTACAGTGTAAAGTTTAGTGTGGAATAATTTTGAAATGAGTCGCATGCTTATTTGGTCACCATTAAAGGGAAGGGATTTGCAATATCTTACATTTAAAGGCAGAAGAATGAAAAATAAGACCTTCATCCTAGTTAAATATTTTAAAGGAGTCCTACAACATTTTTCTTTTCTTTTCTTTTTTTTTTTTTTTGCAATCTTTACAGAAGTGGATGATTCATCCGCAGGGATATGATAGCAGAGGGTGCTAGAAAATCTCTTATCTGCAAGCTAATTCACTTCCAACATGTGCTGATAGGTATCAAAAAGCTACTATTACCAGCCTGCGCAGGGGGAGCTGATAAACACTCGAACTGTGTTCAAGCCACAGCTCTGGCTCCTTTGGTCGAAGTCTCAGAAAGATGGGCAAGGATCATTCACACTAGGCTGTATTTTCATTGCACCCATGCTGTGAATAGGGTGAAGATTTCAGCCAGCACTGTCAATGCAGAAATAGTCCTTTAAAAAAAAATCCTTTTTAAAAAAAAAAAAAGTTCTTTTTTTTTTTTTTAAAAAAAAAAGGGAAAATCAATAGAATTATTTTAGGGAGCTATTTGGTTGACTTGGTTCAAAGAGGCAGCAATTTTTCTTCTTTTTCACAAAATTACCCTTCCGTAATGTTGGGAACAGGCAGACCTTTTGACCACGTACATTTTGACCAGGAATAATTTCAGTCCAGAATGATTTCCATTCATCATGAGAAAGAAATTACAGGAACTGGACAATAAAAATCCAAGTCATTCTGTTTCTTCAATCCCAAATGAACTTTAAGAAAATACATCGGTATAACAAATCTGCACGGCTGCAAATGAAGCAGCTATCTATAATATCTTGATAAGAGTCCAATTTTGTAAGGGTAAAAGCTGCAATGGTCCTGATCCAAAGTTTTGGGTTAATGTTACCATAAAGAATTTCTAGATCCCAACAGATTGAGTGCCTGGGCAGACTGATTTTAGATTCTTCCCCATCCATTTTCACTCTCAGAAGCAGAAACAGAAGAAAGGCAAACTGTACAAAATACATTTGTTACTGTTTATACCTGCAAAAATCCAAATAATAGCTATTATATACATATGTATTATAGACATAAATAATAGAGAAACAGAAAGTGAAGTATAAATTTCGGAGTCGTACATTATTTTCATTACAAACACTTATTCACTCCTGAGGATTCTATTTTATAGATGTGAGGAGGAAATTCAAAAGGTTAAAAGACCCTGACTCATATCACAGCACGGGCTGGTTCATTCCTTTCAATCTTGTGCACTAAATATGACACTGGAATTTTCTTTGAGGCTTCCATACTGTTCTATTACACATACACTTACTATTAGAAATACACTTACTCCTATTATTATTATAGCTTAAAGAGAAAGGAAGCTGTTCCCACAAGAGACTTCTACATGTGCACACTGAGATCAGTAGGGAGATGACTGTTCTAGAAGCAAATGTTGGATTAAGTTATAGTTATGGACTCTATGGGGACAAATCCTGGGGGTCCCAACGAGCTATACAGCTCAGTTGCGGACCGACAGACAGCAAAGAACCATAGAATCATAGAATCCTTAAGGCTGGAAGGACCTCCAAAGATCATCTAGTCCAACCACCCTGCAAACACAGGGACACCTAGAGCAGGTGGCACAGGCTGCATCCAAGCAGGTTTTGAAGATCTCCAGAGAAGGAGACTCCACAACCTCTCTGGGCAGCCTGTTCCAAAAGGAAGGGTGCTCAGCTCTTACCTGCAGAAGGGGCCGCTGCACACCTAGGACCTTCATGGTGTCGGCGTTAGCCAGTATTTTCAGTGGATCAGATGCCTTCGTGACTCCTTCTATCTCTTTGTTGATCTCAGCAAGGACCTGGTTGAGGAAGATGTTCTTGATGTACATGGTGAGGAACTCACGGAGCGGGCACTGCTTGCTTGGGCCAAGCTCCATGGCATGCTCGATCTCTTGGATAAACCTGGAACACACAAAAGGGAAGAATCCCATGTAGTTAAACGCTGTAGATGCTCTAAAAGTGTCGGTGCTGCATTTTCAGTTCCTGCGTGTCAAAGACAAACCCCAACAGTGATGGGATCCCTGTAGACTGCTGTGACCTGTGGCATGAAGAGTAGAAAGAGTCTTTAAAATGGCCTTTAAAATATATATAAAATGTCAAGAGGAGGTGAGAGAAAACCTTGACTGCTGAAAGAGGAGAAAAGTCAATTATGAAAGAAAAAGAACACCATAAATGGCTAAGAATCCACACACAATTCCTGTGTTATCTGTCCTAATATTACAGTGACCTGAGGTGCACTGGACAGACCTGAGTGGAGAAATCACCAAATAAAATGACGCCTGCGCTTTATGGCGGCACCATACTGTGTTATGCATGCTCATATTATATCTTTATTATGCTTCATTGCTTTATGCCACCATCCCGGTCCTTCATATGCAGAACAGGATGCTGATTCTAGGAATATTTTAACACAAAATGTTTGCCATCTCCTCCCGCAAAATATCTTTATTTTAGTAGTGCCATCTGCTTCCCAGACAGGAGTTTCTTTTAGAAATTACCTCATTATTTTTTTTAGCTCATATCTGAGACAACAACGTCGGCTTCGCTTTCAAATTGGTAGAGATTAAAAAAAAAAAAACAAAAAAAAAGGGAATTCAGTATCAGGAGTTAATAGTGGCTTGAGATATTCTGGCCCAAAAGGGAGAAAATGCATATGGGGTTTTCACTGCCTCCTTGCAATTTTTACTATTTTATTTAACTTGCCAGGCTGGGCGGGTTTTTCTCCTTGTTTTGCAGATTATGGAATGCAGCGAGCGTTTGAACCTGGATCTCCCAACGTTTGCCGTAAAACCTTCCCTGAAAGCCACTTCTTCCTCAAGGGGAAAGGTTTTTTTGCAATCAAGACATTTCGAGCAGCTCCGATGCAGTTAGCGTTTATGAGACATGCCTTAGCACTAACCATGTTCCCAAACACTTCAACGAGGGCTGCTTAATTGCCCGTAATTTTCTGCCTCCACGTTCAGCACTTCAGAAGAGACACCTTCCCTTTGGAGGGCTCGCTTGGAACTCCTGTCAATTTTGGCAGCGTGATTTCTTTCCAGTCTGAGGAATTTGCTCCTTATCGGCTCCGCAGCATTGACTCAAATGATCAGTCTCCAAGGCCACATTCAGGGATTGCTTCCACAAAGAGGCCCTCGTCGCAAGCCTAAAAACTGCCTCTCCAAAGCCAGGCGCTGCGTGGAGAGCAGGGCAGAAGATGGCACTTCTGCTCCACAGCTTTCGCAGATCGATACCATGAACGGGTGTTATCAGCCAGGGAACCTGCAGCGTCACCCGGGAGGAGAGCAGAATGAGTGTCACCAAGCTTATCTCTGAAATAATAGACCTAATGTCATCGGCTTCTGCAGGGACAGCCACTGGTGTCCTTATGAGAACGCCGTCAAGGTTGATGGGACCACGCTCAGCTCTGACTTCCACTGCATCTTTTTATGCTTTCTGATAAATCCGTGATATTCTGTACTCTCTAAGTTGACTTACCCAGCACTTCTGATCTGCAGAACATGTTTAAATAGGGGGAAAAAAGTGAGTTAACTCTTATAGCACCTGGACTAGGTAGCCAAATAGCACTAGGCCGCTGTCAGATGGGAAAAGCGAGATGGAGTGATCTGATTTTGGAACAGGCGTTTTCGGTGAAGGGGACAATCGCACTTTTAAATATTAATTGCAGGCTTAAAAATTGCTAAGCCAACACAAGTGACCTAAAACTTGCGTTAGAAGAATGGCCACAGATGAGCAGCAAACTCGACTTTCCTGCTGGTGAGACATCTCCGAAGGCATCAGAGCTGCTGACCTGGGGTAACTTCTTATCCTGAAATAGCTTGATGGTATTTCTAAGGGTTTGCCACACTAGCAAGTAAATTGCTTACATAAAGCCATAGGAAAGGTCAGCGTTAGGGAGAGGATAATTAAGAAATTTTGACTCCCCGTATCTGCCATTAATCACCATCTCAGATCCCTCCCAAAGACCTGTGCCTTGATCTCCTGCAGGCTTTATCTTCATTAGAGAACTGAGTCATGGTGGTTGACGTGGTCTAACAGAACTTAATTTCTTGGCATAAACAAGACAACAGACTCATTTAATACTGGTAAGGATCAAGAGGATCTGTATTTCACTGGATACAACCCATAAGGTGAGAACAGATTACGTGGAAGCTGTCAGATAGCAATGACTCTCTCCCAGAGATTTTATGAGTGCTCAGCAACACTTGTGATGAAGAGGAAAATGGTCAAGAGCTTGAGGAAGCAGAGTTAAACTCGGTATCAGGAGGAAGTTATTAAGAATGAAGCTGTGCAAGGCATGGGGTACAGGATACTGATGAGAGAGACCTCAAGTTTGAACGTTCAAGAATAATGTGATTAAATGACAACGATAATGAAAGACAATTTCTGAAGTCTTCATTTAATAAGAGATCTCTACTGTAGAAGTGTCTGAGGAAAAGAGAAACTTAGTGTGGACCTCAGAATATCTCTTACAGGGAATATTCCTACAGGACCAGAAATTTGACGCTCTGAAGGCGCAACTACTTTACCAAAGAAGCCTAAAGAAGGAGGCTTGGGTTAAATTGGCTGTGAGCTGACATGGTCGAGGCTGACTTGTCCTCACCACATTTTTATTGGCAATGACCACTTCTAAGTGCAGAGTTATCTTCTTATCCTTGGCTGCCCATCCGTGTCACTCTTCATAGATTTCCCTAGATTTCAAATAACTTATCCAGATTTAATCTAAACTTTCTAAGGGGTTTTACAGTTTATCTAAAATCAATTTGAGAGCACTTTCCTCAAATGTTCCCATTTTACCTATGTAAGCCATCCACATAACTACTAAGATGTCCAAAAAGCAGTCAGACCTATGACCAGATATCAATATTTACAAATATACGTATCAATATTTACAAATATACATATTTACCACATTTTGTATACAAAATATCGTAAGAAACCACATTTTGATCCAAGAGCCACCTATAAAAATACATTAAAATAAAAACATTGACAATATTAGCATGTTAATAAAGCAAAGCAGAGCAGCATCGGATGCAGGTGCCACGTAAAGGACACTTCAAAGGGGCTTTTGGGCATACACTCATGTACATAAACCCAAGTTAGAGGAAATAAAGTCACGTGGGGAAAACGCTGTGTCACTGTGCTGTTTTATCCCCTGCTATTTTCTTCTCACTCTGCAGAGAGTGAAATTCAAGATACAACTCACTGTAAAAACAGGCCGTAAAGAAGGGCCTCAGAGGAGCTGCTTTGATTCACATGCCATTTGCTTTGATTATTCTGCTAGAAAAAGGACTATTCCGTCGTAATTTACTAGTGGCTTCTGAAACAGTATCAACAATCTCGTTTAAAACCATCTCTCACTGGCACCCGAAAGCTGAAGAAAAACCCATAAAGGTTCAACGCGCTGCAGGGAGAATTCTCCAAATGTGTGAAAATGAGTCACGCGGCACTTTTTCCGGAGTGAAAATTCCCCTGCTGCCGAGCAATTACGCTTAGTTAACACAACCACGATAGCTGGCGACCTGCAAAATGCTGAGGTGATTTCCTGGGATAAAAATGCCAAGCGAGGTGGGCTGCTGATGGGCACTGCAGATAGGAGAGGGGGTCATTTGAACACCTAGAGGGGACAGCACTGTTCCTGAGGACGCTTCTAGAAAAGGTCTGGAATGGATGGAGTTCTTGCAGACGGCAAGTAGGAAGAAAAAAAATAGTAAAAAAACAGAAATCTGCATCTTATATTGAATCCAGAGCCTGCATTTTCAAAGTAATGCACATTTTTTAACTTGTTTTATCTTCCTATGAAAGCATTTGAGGTGATTTGTGGCTACAATTAAGCATTCCCCTTAGACAGAAAAGCACTTGCGGGGAAATGAGGTATCTTTTGGTAAATGACAGTCGTTTGGATTGAAAAAAAATGAAAAAGGAGGGAAAAAAAGGCAAGCTATTTCAGAAAATTTAATTCATTCTAACTCACAACTTAATTGCATATGAGGACTGTCTTACCTAGGCTGAGAGCGTATAATAAAAAACATAAAACCTAAAAAAGTGACATGGATTGATTTAGAAACCTAGAAATCTCACCTTCCCTTGGCTTTCTTCTGTCTTCTCGTTACAAGATCTCACACAAAATAAGATTAAAAGAAACTGCAGACGAGTCATTGCAAATGCATAATATCAACTTCTCTTTTTCTTAATGATGATGTTAATAGCATCTGAAATTCCCTCCTCAAACAAATGAATGGCAGCCAAAAAATAAGATATTCCAAAATCTTAGTAAGAGACTTTTACAGACATTCAAACTAAATTTATATTTCAGCTCATTTCATTTTTCTATGATCCTAAACTGGTCTCTTCCCCTGTTAGTGATTAAAACTTGAAGTTGCCAGAAGGAACATTTTGGCAAGCTTACACATAGTGAGGAATTATCAAGGTGATATCAGAAATCCTTGGACCCCTGCTATGGACAGAGGAGTAAATTGCAGACTAGCTCCAGTCTCAAGGCAGCTAAAACAGAGGGAAAAAAAATCAAAGCTCCAGGTTCTTGAAGCTTTGAAGACTTCAAGACTGAAGACATGTTCCAGCTCAGAGAGATGCCTAGAAGACCTCTGGTTGTCCACTTACGGAGTAAGAAGCCCACACACCCAAACACAGCGGGTTTCAGAAGGTGGTTGGTAGGTGGGACAGTCAAAGGCTACTTTCTTCTGCCCAACTCTTTGATAATTCACAAGGCACAGCTCTGATATCCATATTTACTGCAGTAGTGACAACATGGCCAAGCATGGAGGTGATCTAATGCTACGTCCAACCAAACTTGCACCACGGATGCCCTTCTTGTGACTGGTTTGCTTGGAAGCAGTTGTTTCAGTTACAGTCCCCAAAATGATCTAGCTGGAATAAGT